TCCAGGCTTCTTCCTTCGTGGACAGGAATCTGCTCTGGGTAGAACCTGGTTTTAACTCTCCTAAAGCAGAGGATCTCATTCCCATGTATCTGGACAGATTTCTTTACAAGTCAAAATACCAGAAGATATTGAACATTCATGACAAAAAGTTATTACACTGCATTCAGCCTCACCCACATAAAAGGACAGGCCAGCACGTAAAGGGCTGAAACATCCTCTAATCATGAATCAAAGATGACAGCTATTGCAGTGATCTCCTAACACATTTTTAGGGCTTCTGTTCTCAGGCTACACAAGTTGTGAAGGCATAGATGAATTAAAACAATAAAGGCTTTTAATCCAGTTGAACAAATGCCAAATCCCCATAATCCCCACAGGCTCTTTCTATCTAGCATTTCACATTTTAAAAATTGAAATTTAATACGGAACAAAAATGTTAAGCATTCCTGTTCCATGAGAAGAATCATTCTCCTGACTTTCAATCCCTGTCTGTTAGAGAAAAATGAGTTTATTCTTATATTCCAAAGGATAGGCACACAGTATTCTGTGAACAGACTCTAAGCTTGCACATAAGCATATTTCCCCAGCACCAAGCACTGTCAAGTAGTCCGCATCCCTCAACAGGGCTTTTTACCTCAGTTTCCGTGGGGGGGGGAGGAAATCAATAAGACTTTTCACTTCATCTATCTGTAGTTGGCCCAGTGTCTCAGACCTGATCCAAATGAAGCAGGGGTGGGGAAATCCTGAACCGAATCTTTTGGCAGGAGCAAAACTTGCTGCCATTGTATGAATGGGTGATGGTCAAGAACCATCTCACAGCTGCACGTGCACTGAGCCTGCTTGGATGCTGCTGGCACCTGGAAATATTGGACAAGCACACTGTAATAGAAGATACTCTTGACTGGCAAATTTATCCTCAGCTTCTTCAGTAAAACTGTGTCTGAAACACATAGGCACAGGAGGAGGCATTAGAACTGGCCACAGGTTAATTCTATGGTGACTTTTGTTCCATTTCAACATGTACAACAGTATAGATCAAAACTGAGTTCCAGGAAAGCACAGCCCTAGATTGTTGCTGCAGTGTCTGAAATCTCATGATAGGATACACAGCATGGCCTCAAGTTGCATCAGGGGAGGCTTAAACTGGAAATCAGGAAGAATTCCTTTACAGAAGGGGTGGTCAGGCTGCCCATGGAGGTGGTGGAATCTCCACCTCTGGAGGTATTCAAGACACTGGATGTGGCACTTAGGGACACAGTTTAGAGGTAGATTTGTAACGTTGAGGGGATGGTTGGACACAATCTTAAAAGTCTTTTCCAGCTTTTTTTGTACTCTCATTGCTACTAAGACTAGTGGCTTCCCATAACATAAGCTTCACATCATCAAGAAAGCAGTATCTTGACAGACATTCATGCTGGGGAAGGCCAGATGGTCTTTAGAACCCAGGTACCAGGCAGCATATCTCTAGTTCAATGGTCATCTTAAATATAGCTTGAAAGATTACATTTTCATTAGGAATCTAGGATAATCTAGCAAAAGCTTTAGAAAAAGACTATACATAGGAAGAGCAGCCCAAGAGCTTGATCTCTTCTCCTTGCTTCTGTGTGGCAGCTGAAATGGGGACTACATCTACAAAGTGAACCAAGTTATTTAAACGTTACAAGGGAAAACAGAAAGTGCTGCAGAAGACCAAAAGAACAAGGTGGCAATGGAGACCTCTCACATTCAAAGTTATGCCCAAGTGTCTCACAGAAAGCCTGGCAGTTGCTAAGAATCTAGTTGCTAGGAGGATATACACCTAACCCCTTCTCCAATGCAAATTTTGCAGCCCTAAGAAAAAAAAATGTTTTCCAGTTTTCTCTACTCAAATGACAGAAGTCATTTTTGTTGTTGCACTGATACTCAACTGAAAACATAAGCGTGCTGGATGTTTCCACATAGCTCAGGAAATATCAAATAGAAACTTCTTCTAATCTTAGTGAACTGGTACAAGTGCTCAGTTGTGTGTTTTCCCATCAGAATAAAAGTTGTTTCTCAACTCCAGTTTCCAATAGTTGTACTCACTGAAAGCAATGGTTCCTATCATCTTAACATCAGGATAAAGCTGAGATACTACACATACACAAATGCACACGGACTACAAAGAAGCCACACTTACCACCAGCACGTGGTATAGCATGGAAATAATGAATGGCACATCAAAGACAGATCCCCAGCTGTAGAAGATGCTCTTTTTTAATTCATCACCCTATTCAACTGCTGCTTTACTTCACTACAGCTCATATTCAATACAAAGCAATCACAAGCGTTTTGCTGGACTAAATATGGAATAATTTGTAGCAATTTGATCCAGAAGACAACAATAAAAGCTTTAATATCGCCTCTTCTGTTATTAGAAAGCACTTCTATTATAAAAACAAAGTTTTTTGACTTTCAGAAATTCACCATTTGGTCCTAATGTGCTTTGATGGAAAATAGCTTTAGAGGTTTCAAAAAGCCCAAAATAGAGAAACATCTGCTAGAATTTAGATGCAGCTGTTTAGGGGAAAAAGTCCAGTGCTAGAAAAGCCAGTACTCCCTCTGTAATCAATAACAACTCTATTAAAAACATCAGGGAACAGCGTGAAGTACTTGCCCAGGTTCATTTTTTAAAAAAGCACTGACATCTTTAGGTCATCAAAACCTGGAGAGACTTTGTAAATTAGTGTCACACAGGTGTTTCGGCCAGAGTCCAACCAAGCCACAGTTGGCTGCTTTTCCAAAGCAATCAGAACTGGTGCAGTCTTAAGAAGAAAAAGCCCCAAAGCACGTTATCCAGTTTCATTTTTGGTAAAGAAGACCTGCTGTATTTCCTGCTTAGAAGTGACTGCACTTCAGTGATAAAAACAACTTGATATCAAGTCTGTTATCAGCTTTGGGCTCTAAGAACTCTACAAAGCTTTGTCCACAGTCTTATTTAAGAGTCTAGTCCAATAGGATGAGTGGGAATGCAGCAGGAAAGGTTCAGGTTGGATATTAGGAAAAAAATTCTTCTGAGAGTGGTCAGGTACTGCAATGGGCTGCCTGGGGATGTGGTTGCATCCCCATTCCTGGAGGCATTTAAGAAATGCTTAGATGTGGTACTGAGGGACACAGTTAGTGGGCAGCATTGGATGGCTGGAGTAGATGACCTTGGAGGTCTTTCCCAACCTTGGTGATTCTATGACTGTGGGAAATGGCATCACTACTTTTATACTAGAGGAAAGATTCATGATATTTACCTATAAGAATAAAACACACAGCATTGAAGGGAGAACAGACTATTAGCAACCTTTAGCCATTGAGTGGAGGAATAACTCCTTCTGAGTTGCTGACTGTGAACTGATCTGAAAAGGCCAGACAGACCAGTTTTTCAAAAACACTATCAATCACTAAAGCTGTACAGAGCATAACAAATACTATTCAGATAAGAAAGCTGCATCTGCTACTGTACTGCATAACATTCAGATGAACACAACAGTGAAAATACAGATGACTCAAGCAGCTAATGCCTGTGAATTTAATGAGAATACATAACTTATCTTTGTCATATTGGTGAATAGAGTTATATGGTCTATTTAAGAAAAGGCATTATACTCTTCACCAATTACCCAAATCAGAGCAGCTGGAGCAAGTTTATGATCTACAGTCTGTCAATTTTCAAACACTGTAGCCTCAACACATCTCATATGGGTTGTACAGCTCCAAACAGTGAACCTCATTGTAATAATGATAATAATGCAGTAGAGCTGTGTTTTAGAAAGCAAGACGAAGCCTGAGTAGTCTTATGAAGAATGAAAAGGAAGGAGTCAAAATACAATCTACAACCATAGCGTTGGTATGGAAGACACTTGATCTGCCGCTAAACACTGACCTGAACTATTAAGTGTTTTGGAAGCAAGCATGTACTCCTTACTTGTCTTTAGTAAAATATTTGTGCTTCCCATCCAATCTCCTCAAAGTAGCTGTTTCACTATTAAAATGCAAGAGCCCCTAACTGAACTCTGAAACACACTCCCTACAGCACAGAAGACAGAAAACCAAGAACCCCCATGCTCCCAGCTGTAACAGAACTTACTAGTGCAGTGTTTCTTCAGACCACAAGCAGTTCCTTTAACCAAAATAAAATTTTCTAAAAGATATTTAGTTGAGCTGCACAGACTTCAATACCTTTGCACTGTCACTTGTTTGTACCTTTCCTAGGACTTCCTCTAGAACAGGGGTTTCCCCACCTCAAGCACTACACCTACAGCCCAGAGATGTTACATAACTAGTTTCACAACAGGCCTGCCTCAGAAGAACCATTTCCCTTTTACTGCAAAAGATTTGTGAGCAGGAAACTCAGATAAATGAACAGAGCAGCTTCTGTATGAGAAGTGATTTAAGCAGACAAGGATTCCTGAGGAGGAAAGGACATAATGAAAGGGGAAAGTGAGAAAGAGTCTGAAATCAGGGGAGCATGAAATGGAATGGTGGCCCACGTATTCCATACTGAACCAGGGAGACTTTAAGGAAGGCGCTGAGCCACAGATGGTTTGAAAGCAATGATTCTGAAGTCTCTACACACTTGCCCTATTCCTATACTCATCCCAGTACCAACCACTGACCCATGTGCAACACTGCACAAGCTCAACAGACCTTTCTTCTCTCCTGGTACATTCCCATGCTGACGATTCCCCTTCAGGGAAAACTCAGAAGAATGGAGAGAGCTGGAGACATCCAAGAGAAAATAGGCTTTGTTGGCTTTTCAGACTAACAGCGAGGGACTGTGGCAACAATTTCACTTGTATTTTTTAATTATTTGGGTCAAAAGAAAACAGCTTGTCACAGTCAGCCTTACTGCTGCACAATGTGCATCTCTGAGCACAAACACTACCCAGAATATCCAAGTGACTTTTAAAAGACTTTTATGGATATTCCACTCTCAAAGGATGCCGGGCGAGATCAATGGACGCCAACTGAGATCATTATGTATGACTTACCTTGCCCATTTCCTTCCCTTTCTGCCTTTGAGGCTCTTTTAGTGCACTGAATGTCTTTCTGGGGAATTTCATTTAATATCTTGGCAGCATACTCAATTCCTCCTGTCAGATCCTTGAGGCAGTCCTATAAATAAAGGGCAGAATGCTTTATTACTAGAGTCAGCAAAAGAATTGTGCACAATGATGTCCTTACTCATACCACAACGTTATTAAAATGTGCATACAGTTTCTGTGGTTCAGAGGCAAAGGGAGTCAAGCAATTGCAACTTAACGGCTTCAGTTCCCTCTTCTCCTGGATGTGTGTCACACTTTGTATTTTGAGCTCTGCTCCACATAAGCTGCCATCTCAGTGTCCTTTACTTGAGTTCACTCACTCAGGCTCACATCCCACTGTCCTTGCACAGACCTTCACATACACTCAGTCTCTCTCTAAACTGATACATAATAAGTGCCAGAGGCTTCCAATTGCAAACTGCGTGCTTCAAGCTTTAGCAAAGGGCTGCCTGCTAAGACTGATAGTCCAAGCTCAGCATGATCCAGTTTGAGCTCAGGGCTGCAAGGCAGCCTCTGTCTTTCCAGCAGCACCCAACATGCAAGGGACCCGGAAGCAGCCACACAGAGCACCCATTCCACACCTACCAAAAATGCTGCAGCCTGTTGCTGAAGGAGAGTGTCCTTGTAAAGAAAGTAAATTTAAATAGGAAGCAGGTCATTGCTAAAAGTATTCATTTAAAACTAGCCTACTTCAAAAGACTTCAAAGTACTTTCTAGTGTTACAGAACAATCCATCCAGGAATGACTTACAAACACATTGCAGCCAGACTTGTGATTTGATCATGATGCTCATCTTATTCGTGTCTGTACCCGTGGGTTTACATGATCACATAAATTTTAGGGTTTTTTGTTTTGTTTTTTAGAAATGTGAAGAAAGCTCTGAAGTAGGACCAAACCCTACCACTTCAACATTTGGGAATTGCAGTCCTACAAACACTAGCATCAAAAACGTCACTGGCTTTGAAGTGAGCAAAGAGAGAGAAGGAAAGGGGACTTGCTCCACTTCAATGAAATTTTATGATGTTAATCCTTGCTAGAAGGGAATGTGCTGACTGTCAATTTCAGTTCATTCTATGGCAGAGAAAAGTACATTTCACCTAAAGTGCATCCTTCTAGAACGGGAAGCAACTCCACCAGCTTTCCTCTTTGTGATACCCACCAAAGAATGAATTATCACCAAATGAACAAAGACAGCCTGCAAGCACCTCTTCCCTTCTCTCACATTCTTGCTGCAGTTGCAAGAAAGATGCTGGAAGCTACTGTCACCCTTATGCCTGCCCTCTTCACTTCACCTCATCTTCAAAACAGATAAAGTCAAATCTTACAACTGAACTTTATGGGAGAAAGACAACATTCAACTGACAGTAAATCTACACACCACCCACCCAGAACATCTTGATATCTGAACGCTGATTTAGGGAAACGTATCTGCTGGGCTCATTCCTTGGAATGAGAGGCAGACTGGATAGGGGGATGCTTGCAAGTGCTGCCTATTCAGCTTCTGCTCACAGGGACTCTTAACCACAGAGCAGATGGGAGAAGTTATAAGTGTTCCTACTACAAAGTCTGCCAGCAGCATAAGAGAGATGCTGTAAAAGCTGGACCTTCCAGAAGACCTACAAAATACCTTCTACAAGATGAAGCTCTAAGGCACTACGGGAGCAGTACTTAGAAGGCAAACAAATGAGTCCTCCTCCATCTAACATAGTGCCCTCCTGGATTTTAGTGATACTGTTCTCCTTAGCAGAGACAACTCAGTCCTGTACAAAATAAGAAGGCCATGAAAGACATAATAGGAGTACTGCTATGACCTTCCCTCCGGCCCACCTCCAGCCCTACAGTAACCAGCCATCACTTACTGTGAATGCTCAAAGTTTTATTTTGCAGCTGCAGAGTTTCTCTTTCTAAATCTTACACTAAACCAGGCTGTCCCACCTCTTAAAATGCATGCACAGGCCAGAACAAAGGTTTCAAATAGCAAAATTATTGCTGGCCTAGCAATAGCTAGAGTCATAGTGACACAAATCAGCATCAGTCTACCAGGCCTTATTCGCTATTTACTCAATAAGACTCAATAAAACTCATTCTGTTCACATTAGTCATCAGCTTTCTCAATATGCACTATAACATCCAACTTCTGAAGTTACAATAGCAGGTTTCCATGAGGGCTTCAGTTTTAATATAATTTAATTTACAGTTACACAGTTCAAGTAGAGTTCCCTTATGCACACAGATAGCTTTTAATCACGCACTCAATGAGGAACACAAGCACTATGACCAGCAACACAATTTCATCTACACCAAGGCCAGAATCAAAAGAATTTGTGATTACTGCAGTCATACAAACAGCAGCTGCCATCCATTAACGCACATCAAGATGTGGGAAAATAAAGAGTGTCACTACACATGGCTCCTAATTATTACAAGCCACACAGTAAACTAACAAAAAGTGACATCGTTATTTGAACTGCATCCAGATTAGTTTCGTGTCTCTTACGCAGAGCTGCAGCAAAATGGGAACGGACTGTATATTTCAGAGCAGAAAGATCTTTTGACTTGACATGTGCTGATGGCACATGGAAACTCTGGTTTCTATTTACCTATAGAACAACAATAAAACAAACAGTGAAGTCTCAAGGAAAGAAAGAAGGTTTGGGAAATTAGTTCAACTTCATCTGAAATAAAAAGTAACTAAACTACATATCAAAGAACTCTAAAAGTCAGTTAGCAACTGACAAACGCAGGCACTAAACATGAAAAATGTTATGGTCACAGAGTTCTGATATGTTTTTTTTCCCTTATACATACACAATTCTCATTCATGTGTAAGTTGTGCATGCAAAGCGATACACAAATTATTTCACAGTCAAGAACTAAGATAGCAGTGGGATGCTTTTAGACATGAAGTAAAAACAGAAAGCCATTTAAAACCCCATGTATGTCATCTTAAACACCTGTTTGGAACAGGTATCAATGTCAGGCTTAGGGCTGGAATGTCACTGCTGCTGGCAGGGCGCTACTGTGAGGACACTCGTGTATGCAGGGGTCCCACTGACACCATCAGGTGGTGTTTATGCATGATCAAAGCCCAGATGTCAAGGCAAAGCAGAAGGAGCCAGCAGGGAATACACCACAGAGGAAAGGGGTAAGGAGAGAAAGATGAAGTACACAAATACCAACAACCAAAACCTCCCTCCCTGTTTTTCAAAGGGGAAGTTATACAAAATCAGATTTTACTGTAAACAGGGACGATCCTGACAGAGTTAACATTTAGTCCATATAAACACTTAAGCTTAAAATTAAAACATGTTCCCACCACATTTCCATTTAGAATCTACCAAGAAAGAAATCTCAACCCCTGTATCTATACTGAGTTTTGCTCTAACCTGCAAAAACACAGGCCCTCTCTGCTTGACAAAGCCAATGGAAAATATACATTAAAGCAACTCCCACTTTTAAATTGCGCTGACCTGCACATTACCTTTCGTTTCAGAATCTGTACATGCCTTTGATTTGAACCACAGAACAGCTTTACACAGAACTTCTTTTAAAAGACCAGATATCTCAGAACTGCTCTCAGAAAGCATTTGAGTCCTTTCCCAGAGGCTCATTCTTCCACTGTACAAAGAAGCTAAACCCACAGTGCAGAAATGCTCTCTGCTTTCTGGACAGATGCATCAATGTGCAAAGCAGCTCTGCTGCTGGGCATCAGCCTGCATTTCAGGATATCTGCATTCCAACTTCTTCCCCCCCAGACTCATTCCACCCCAAGGGAGCTACAGTAAATTACTTCATTTCTTCTGGACTACGCTGCCCATAAGTAGATAAAAACATCTCCTTGGTTCCCCTCTGCGCTGATTGGTATTTCAGGGTATGCAGGTTTTTAAACTTCATTTGCACAGTGCTCTAGGATTCTGCTGCTGCTCGATTCCCATTGATGTGCACCAATAACAAAGTATGGAGAAAGCTCTACCAGCTAAAAGGAAACTCCAGGGCACATCCAGGCTCAGCCTTTCAATGAAGCAGGCACTGCTGAATCCAGGTGCAGCAGCAGACAGCCAGGATGTAGGGATGCAGCATAGAACTGCTGTGATGACAGGCAAGTCTGCGGACACAGCGTTTCTCTCTGAATTTGTAGCATGGAACAAAGGAAGCAGAGTGCTAGAGAGGTTACAGGGCTGTTTAATCAGAAAACATGTCCTACTAGATTACCGTAAACATTAAACATACTTTTCACTGATGGAGCAGAGAACACTTCAGTATTTCCATGGAAATTCAAGCCATGAAGTTACTCCAAACACTTCACTGAGGTAGAACGCAGCAATACATTAATTTGAGTGCTTTCCCCTACTGAGGAAAAGGACAGCATCCTTCTGGAACGAGACAAACACTGACAAACCTAAGAGGCAGGAGTAGGTTCAATAGAGAGTGCAAGCTTATTGGGATCAAAGCAGACAAAGCACTATCAGCCATTTAAACCTGGCCAGAGAACAATTGTCTGAATTATGTGTGCAAAAGCAGTGCTTTCCTGGGAGACTTCCCATCTCCCCCTTTGCTAAAATTCACAAGAGTCCTCATTAAAGACATGAGGGTGCATTAAATGAAGGCAGAACGTAGAACTAATTCTAAATACGCACTGGTTTAACAGAGCCTTGTAATCTGCTCAGGTGCATTACATTTGTGATTTCCTTAATGTTTCTTTAATGATCTTGGAAGGTAATTCTCCATCGCACTGCAAACCAGTTTTGTTCAGACACATTCAAGTTTTCCCACAGCGGAGCAAGCAAGTTATCAAGAGAACTAATTAGCTTGACCTTCTGTTTGCCCAGTAATGAGAAATGCATCAAACAGGTTTCTCTTTTCATGTCTGAGCCTGTCAATTAAAGCACAGGCTTTCTACTCGTTGATTGTCCCCAGGAATATTTACCTTAGGCACGGCCAATATAAGCAATGCCCTCTCCACTCACCTCCTCACACAACCTCAGTATTTTCTTCAGCGGAGGGAAGCAGCTATGCACAAAAATCCCTCTGCAAAAATCATAGGAAACTATTCTGATTTCAGTGTTCCTT